TGTGTGTGTATATATGTGTGTGTGTGTATATATGTGTGTGTGTGTATGTGTGTGTCTGTGTGTGCGAGTGAGTGCGAGTGTGTGTGTATGTGTGTGTGTATGTGTGTGTGTGTGTGTGTGTGAGTCAGTGTGTGCATGGGTTTGTGTGTATGTGTGTCTGTGTGTGTGGGGGGGGGGGGGCTCTTCCTACTGTCTAAGGCTGCTTGGTCAGAGCAATCTCCATAAACTTCTTCAATGGTTATTGTGATTTTTTTAAAAAAGAAAATTATGTATGTATATTCAAAATCTGCAACAGTGATTATCTGGGAATCTTAACTGAAGTATATCTATTTCTGATGGATCTCAGACTTTAAACCAGCTAGGTATGGAAGTCTTCTACCAGCATACTCAAGGGTGTCCTTATCCAGCTGTCTCTGTCCAACATCTGCAGTTGCATGTATGCAACAGGACCCTTTGTGTTCTCATCGTAAAACCCTTTGTGTGCTACTATAATCTTGTTACCTTGGATATATTCTGTTTACAAAGCCACAACAGTCCTAATTTATGGTTTACTTTAATAGTAAACAAGGCACTGCTTCGGCTATAAAATTTTCTCCGCTATCGTACGTCAACTAAAACTCACAGGCAGCTATTTTATGTCACCCTCAGCCATGAGCAATCCCAACACTCATCAAAATATTTGGTTTAAAAATATTTATATGTGGCCTTTTGCAAATTGACCAAGCAATACACTAAAAGGCTTATCTTACCTAAATAAATGTAATTTTATATCGCAGCAATATTAATTAACAGAGAATCTGAAACAATATAATAAATAACAAACAACATTACTGCAATCAGGACAGTCAGCATCTACCTCAGTGAATCACAGAGAGCTTAATTGCAGAACATTCTCTGTGATGACCACAGTCCTGCCTTACTTGTAACAAAAGGCACATGAAGGACGAATACAGGTAGCACGCATGTTGGTAAAGGTCATTTTGAAATCTATAAAATTATACTGAAGAAGATAAGATTATAGATTGCAAGTGCAAATAACTAATGATTCACACATGATGATGGATGGCATAAAGTAAAATAAAATTGATGTAAACAGACAGCACCCTCTGACAAGATTAATCTACAGGTTAGTTCTCTCTCCCTGTACAAGCCGTCCTTTGATGATCCAAACATCCTAGAAAGATAAAACCACAGAGGTATTAGCATTGAATGCCTTCAGATCAGATTGCATGAGAGCTTGGTGATTTGGCATTATCATAGCTGCTGTGTAATGATATTTGTGCACTAACTTTAAAGGGGGTGAGAGAGGTCTGTCTTTGTTTTTAAAGTAGTCCGAATGCATTCTTTATTGTAATTTTGTACATTTCCTTCTCTCTCCTTGAATCTTGTGGAGTTACTACTTTCAGCTAATTCTTTTGATGTTGGCCACACCTCTCTGAAGGAGAGAGGTTCCTATTTAGGATGGAGATAAGGAGAAATTTCTTTTCTCAGACAGTTTTCAGACTTTGGAATTTTCTTCCCAGGGACAAATGGAGGGTAGGTCATTAAAGACTTCTGGTTGCCTTGCTATAGGAAGGATATTATTAAACTGGAGAGGGTTCAGAAAAGATTTAGCAGGGTGTTGCTGGGAATGGAAGGTTTTAGTTATTGGGAGAGGCTGGATAGGCTGGGACATTTTTCCACTGGAGTGTAAGAAGTTGAGGGTGACCTTATAGAAGTTTATAAAATCATGAGGGACATAGATAAGATGAATAGCAAGGGTCTTTTCCCTGGGGTGGGGAATTCAAAACTAAGGGGCATATTTTGAAGGTGAGTGGAAGAAGATTTAAAAAGGACACGAGGGGCAACGATTTTACACAGAGAGTGGTTTCTGCACGGAATGAACTGCCAGAGCAAGTGGTGGATGCAGTTATCACGTTTAAAAGACATTTGGATAAGTACATGAAAAGGAAAGGTTTGGAGGGATATGGGTCAAATTCAGGCAAGTGGGACTAGTTTGGTTTGGTAACATGGTCAGCATGGACTGGTTGGACTGAAGGGTCCGTATCCATGCCGTGTGTCTCTACATTCATGGCTGAGTTTAACAATCTTTGATTGACAAGAATTGAGGGTTATGGGAGTGCAGGCATAATGTATTTAAAGCTAAACCAGATTAGCCACGATGTTGCTGGATGCAGGAATAGATGCAATGGTCTGAATGGCCTTATCCTGCATCTACATCTTGCTCTGTTGGAGCTACAGTTGTGGAGTTTCACAGGTTCAACCGTATTTCCCAGTAGTTAAAATCATGAGCAGGCTGGATCGGGTAGATCGGGAAAAATTAGTTATGGGTGTAAAAGGAACAAGAACAAGAAAGGGGCATATATTTAAAGTGATTTACAAAAGAAGCAAAGGTGGCTGGAGAAAAAAAAGACATTCACACAGCAAATTATTAGGGTACAAAAGCACTGCCTGGAAATGCAGCAGTTCAACTGAGACATTCAAGTGGACATGCGATAATTATCTGGATAAAAATAATGTGTAAGGGTCTGGGAAAAATGCAGGAGATTGGCACAAGGTAATGATGCTTATTTGAAAGTGGGCTGAATGGCCTCCTGCTGCACTGTAAAGCTGTGATTCTGACAGTTAACATCGGAGAAATGCAGTAACTATGTTGTGCCTTTACAGGCCTTAAGTTAGATTGGTAGAAAGGATGTTGTTCTTTTTTCAGTAAATGTGACAGTAAACAGTGTCATGCCCAATAGCAAGGGTGACTCCATCATTTCGGAATCTTGTTCAGTGAGGTACATCTCAAGAAACTTGACATTGCTACAGTCTTTGACGTGCTAGCAACATTTTTTGCCATACACAGTGTACTGATACACAGCAATGATAACAACAATTTCCTTTATGTAGTTTCAGGATGGAAGTCCTTACATGAAAGCCAGAAATTGCATTAGGTCTTTAGGATTGTGTAGATATTTGTGGAGAATCTCCCACAGAACAGCTTTAAACACCATTGCTTAAGAACAGTAGCTGCCCACAAATCGATTTACGAAAAAAAGCAAACAGCATCAAAATAATAAAGAACTTAAAGCTTGTAGCAACAGTTTTGCTTATAAAATAGAATGTCAGTTTGACAAAATGTACTTTTTTTTTAAGAAAACTTACTGCCAAAGTTACATCTTGGCCAAAATTGTATTTCCTTCGGCCTACCCCAAGAACCTCTTGCTCAATATTCTCCTGGCTGGTACCTTTTACATCGATGTAGTAACAGTCAGCACTCGCAAAGTGGCATGAGATTGCCTGGTAGGGGAGAGAAAAATAATCAGAATGCAAACACAGAAGTAACTGAAGATGTGGAAAGCAAATAAAAAATCCATCCAGACAGACGTTGATGGACAGGTGGTGATCCTCTGATTAATCCAGCACGTTTCATCTAATTGTGTTACCTCGTTTGTGTAGGACAACAGAACTCACCTCATCTGAAATCGTGAGATTATCCATGAGAGGGGAAAGAAACAGGAAGGCCCTGATGGGGGAAATTTATGAAGAATTCCTCTCCTACCCATAAAATCTAGCCCAGATCCCGGGTCCTGAATCCTCTGCCAGGATGGCATGATGGCATTAGACTAATAATCTGGGACGTGTGCTCAAATCCCACCACAACAGCTAGCAACTTTTAAATGCAATGACCAGAAAAGAAAGCCATGGTTGTAAAGCTAGTCTCAGTGATGGTGATCATGAAACTATCATCAACTGGCATTAAAACCCACCCCGTTCACTAATGTCCTTTAGGGAAGGAAATCTGCCACCCTTACCTTGGTCTGTCCTACATGTGACTCCAGACTCTCAGCAATGTGACTGAATCTTAACTATCCTCTCGGCAATTAAGAATGGGCAGTAATTGCTGGCCCTGTCAGCAATGTCCATATCACATAAGATTGTAGAGAGTAAAAAAAACTGTAAGAGTTGATCTAATTGCAGTAAGAAACAGGCCCTGCTCTTCGTTGAGTTAAGTCAGCAGCCACTGCACAGAATGCTAACTTGTTCCAGTGGTTTACTATTCTCTGGGAGAAGAACCATACCCTGACATCTAACCTAAATCTGACTTTTAACCTCAGTGATGATCACACCAAGACATTATGCTGGAAGTAATGTGATGTTGGCTAAACAAAAAGGAATCAAATCTAAGTTTCGTTCTGTTTGAGTCAAGTTCATGAAAACATTAATAATAAAATGAAAATTGGTCTGAACTGAAAATGAAGTGCCATCAAAATGACTGTAACCATTGACTCAGATCTATGTCTCCCGTTTGGCTAAAACCTTTCCGATGGTTTTATGCATTAGGATGAAAATCGCCTACATTCTATCCAGCTTGAGAAACAAAGAAGCCATGTGAACAGTATTTCAGGTAGGTGCCTTTGGGGAGGGGAGAGAATGGATTTATAGCTGCAAAAATGGAAGGCTTGCCCTCTCACAGTTTCTCTCAGCCTCTCAAAAAGACAATGCCTGGTGATAAATCAAATTGAGAAGCATCCATTTAGCAAGAACACAAATTGATCTATTAAGTTTTGCAACTGCTGAAAGATACATATCAAATTAAACAATTGTGGACTCAGGTTAAATCTAAGACTTTAAACAGTCTAAGGACTTTTTAAAACTATCTGTACCTGATTTTCCTTTTTGTGCAGATAATTTCCTCTTTTTCAACTTTACCCTTATGGTTTTGTTGGTGTGTGTGTGTGTGTGTGTGTGTGTGTCGTGAGTGTGTGTGTAGTGTATGTGGGTGTAATGTGTGTGTAGTGAGCATGTGTTTTGTGTGTGTGTGTGTGTGTGTGTGTGTGTGTATGTGTACGTGTGTTGAATGTCATGCTTTATTGTTTATCTTGGGGTTAGTCAGTACAGGTAGTTCTCCTGTAACACGATAGTTGCATTCTTGCTTGACCTCACACTATCGAAAATGCTGCTGTAGAAAATCGCGTTATAGGGAAACTGCTGCAGAAAATCGCTACACCTGTACAACAGAAAGTTTGTGCTATCCAAACAGTATTCACTGTTCATCAGTCGTGTTACAGCCAATTCATGTTAACGAAACACGCATTATAGCTGAACTACTCATAATAAAATTCTTTCTTTCACTCAACTGGCTCCTTACCTTTGATGCTCAGTGGGTTGGGTGGCTTGTTTACGATGCAGAGAGACACCACCTGTCTGGGTTCCATTCCTGCTCTGGCTGAGGTTCCCATGAAGGATTCTCCTTCTCAACCTCTCCCCTCGCCTGAAGCATGGTGACAGGTTAAACCACCACCAGCTGTCTGTCTCACTCTCTCTCTCTCTAATGAAACAGCAGCCCTATGCTCCTCTGGGATCTTTACAATGTTATAACTGAGGCCTAATATGGCAGCATTATAAACCATCTTTGTTGAGGCAAACAGAGCCAATTATAAACAGGAGTGTCAATTTCATTCTTCCTCACCTGGTTGTAACAGGGGATTACTGATATTTAGTTGCAGATGATTAGATTCTTGCTTGAAGCCAGACAGGAAATTATATTTCCAGCACCTATTTCAACACTTCCTGTATCAGTGTCCATTCCCTGCCTTTATAAAAAAAAGACAAGTGGGCGGCTTGGTTCCACACTCTTGACTCCAGTTACCTGTAGGTGCTCCATAACATTTCAATTAACCTTTATTTCTTTCTTCTAGTTGGGAAAGTGCAAACACAGAAGGGCAGTGAAAAATATTCTCCAGTTTTCACAGAAAAATAAATGGAACCTGAGAATGCAATTCCCATAAAACACACAAAAAGTACAAAACACGACTGAAATAATCTCTGTACACCGCTGTACCTGAATAGTACACTGAAGGCTTTTGACTTGCAAAGCAGATTTTGTACAAAGATAGTAGGAACTGCCGATGCTGGAGAATCTGAGATAACAAGGTGTAGAGCTGGATGAACACAGCAGGCCAAGCAGCATCATAGGAGCAGGAAGGCTGACGTTTCGGGCCTAGACCCTTCATCAGAACATGACTTAACTCAGAAAGGTGGATGTATCAGTCCAGTGCACCTCCTGGTAGGGATTTTGAGGCAGTCAGTCATATGGATCAGAAAGACCATCAGAACCGGGAGCAGGAGTAGGCCATCTGGCCCATCGAGCCTGCTCCACCAATCAATAAGATCATGGCTGATCTTCCTGTGGACTCAGCTCCACTTTCCTGCCCACTCACCGTTACCCTTAGTTTTTTTACTGTTTAAAAATCTATCTATCTTCACCTTAAAAACAATCAACAAGGTATCCTCAATGGCTTCACTGGGCAGGGAGTTCCACAGACTCACAACTCTTTGGGTGAAGAAGTTTCTCCTCAACTCAGTCCTAAACATGCTCCCCATTATTTTGAGGCTATGCCCCCCTCGTTCTAGTTTCACCGCTAGTGGAAACAACCTCCCTGCTTCTGTCCTATCTGCTCCCTTTATAATTTCTTATGTTTATATATGATCTCTCCTCATTCTTCTAAATTCCAATGAGTATAGTCCCAGTCTACTCAATCTCTCCTCATAAGCCAACCCTGTCGACTCTGGAATCAACCTAGTGGGGCTAGCTAGAGCACACGGATTGCAGAAGTTCAACGAAACAGATCACCACCATCTTCTCAAGGGCAACGAGGGATGAGCAATAAATTCTTGCACCAAAATGAAAAGGTTCCAGGTTGAGTTTGCGGGGTGAGTTGGTTTTGCAAAGCAAGGTGATGGATCCTCGTTAGATTTGCTGCATCAAGTGCGTCTCAGATCTGGTCTTTACCTCTTGTCACAAGTGACCCCTTACCTTTCGGAAGCCCTGAGTCTGATTTGTTCCCGATCCATGAATGAGCAGAGGATGGAAGAACACAGTGTCACCCTTCTCCATCACAAGGTGAACCCTGGAGTGACTGGGGTCATAATCAAGTATGCCATGATACATCTTATTGACACCACCCTGAATATACAGGAGATGGAGAAACAACATATTACTTTTCTGGTTAACGAAAATCAATTATCTTCAGCTAAAATTGAGAATCACAAATTTGGGCACTTAAAATTAAATTAGAAGCGACTTGAAAACATACTGCTGTTCCTTCACTGTCGCTGGATCAAAATCCTGGAATTCCCTCCCCAACGGAATTCTAGAGCCATCTATAGCACATGGACTGCAGCGGTTCAAGAAGGCAGCTCCCCACCACCTTCTCAAGGGCAACTAGGGACGGGCAATAAATGCACAACCAGTGATGCCCACATCCAATGTATAAAAAAGAGGCTGCCAATGTGGTCACAGGAAGTTCGTACAACTAACAATGGGATAATGGCTGGGTAATTAATCTTTTCCCATGTTGACTGAGGAATAATTGGCCAGGGCACCAGAGATAACGCAGATAAAAGCAAAATACTGTGGATGCTGCAAAAAGATGCTGGCATTCTGAAAAAGTATCAGTCTGGACTCGAAATGTTATCTCTGTTTCTCTCTCCACAGATGCTGCTCAGCACCCTAGTACGGGCAATAAGTAAAGGATATGAGTGTCCCAGACAGGGATACCCATTTTCTGTGAACAAATAAAAAACACAAAGAAGCTTTTTTGTTGAAAACTGGAAGTGCTGCAACTGCGAGAGACAGCAATTTTTTTTGACAGATGCAGAAACATTCTTAATTCTTGCACTAAAATGAAAAGTGAGGTCAACATTTAGTTGGTTCGGTTTGAGTACATAGTTGCTATTTTGCAATAAACTGCATCTTGCTTTAGACTAGAACCTCCTCTCATTAGAAGTGCATTTCCTCCACCACACTAGTCCAAGCTGCCCCTGTAGATCCCAAAGTAAAAAGGAAAGATGGTGGCATCGAATCTTCCCAATGTTGACCAAGAGCCCAGCTCGTTCAAATCAACATGGTGTGAGCATTGGTCATCTAGTTTACTGTCACAACAGCCAACACAAGTCTAACTTTAAAATATAAAATAAGGATTAATGAAAGCAAAGCAGAAAAAAACGGAGTTTCTAATAAAATCTAGTGGTTTGTTTAGTATATGTGTGCTTTCACGGTGCAACAGAAGTGTTTTTTAATAGTTACCATGACAACTACCCATCTCACCACTACGCAGTTCTGTGCTTGCAAAAATATTATAGTCAGGTATTTTACTCGTCTTCCATGCTCCTCTCTGAATTTCCTCATTTGCAGTTACTTTCCTCTTGTAAGGGAGACTAAAGGAGGTTGTTTAAGAATTAAGGGCCCCTCTATTAAAACAGAGATCAGGACTTATTATTTTTTCTCTCAGACAGCTGATAGTGCGTGGAATTCTCTTCTATAGAAAGTACTGGAGGCTGGGTCTTTTAAGTTTTTTACAAAAATGCGTTAGACAGATTTTCAGTAGATAGGGAGTCGAGCATTGTGGTGGGAGGGGCAGACAGGAAATTGGAGCTAAGACTATGACCAGATCAACCACGGCATTATTGAATGTTGCAGTGGGCTTGAGGGGCCGAATGGCTCACCTCTGCTCCTGTGACTGTGTATCGCCTCCCTCTCATTTCCTACCCACAGTGATTTTCTCAACACTGTGTGTTTGCAATGGTGTTTTTTTTCTTTAAATCATTTTTTTTTTGTTGCACACAGACAGCATTGTAGCCAAGTACATACCTTCCACTCTGGGTAGTCATGTTGTTCCAGTCTCCCCTTGTGTGTCCCTGGCAGCACAACAAGGCATCCATTGTTGCGATCCACTCTCTCCATGGCTGTCCACGCGCACACTATCTGATCCGCAGGTCTAAATGGGAAATAATGCAAATCCTGATGCATAGGATGTCGGGACGTCTTTGCTCCTGGAAACGCAAAACATACGGTGATCACTTCCCCAACTTTGACAAACTTTTATCATCTCTCTTCAGCTCTTACTGAGGTATTAATACAGAGTAATTCCCAGAATATATCTTGAGCTACCAAACTTCCACATCATTGCCAAGATCTACCACATATGGGGGAAGGGGAAAAATAAAACAGATCACTCCACCTTAATAACTACTTAGCAAGTTAAAGCTTACTGTAACATAACGCAGCAAATGACTTGCAGCTGTTATCAGAAAACTGAAAATAACTCTACAGGCAGCGGGAACAGCATTAGTTTTAAGGGATTAATTGGTTCAATGCTTCAAACATTTGCAGCTGGAATTTTTCAGCTCATGACAATATATGAATACCTTAATTACTTCCGTAAGAAAACTGACAATCTGTCACTGCACTAGTTTTAAAAAAAATTCACCTATGAGAGGTGGGCTTTGCTGGCTCGTACTGCCTGTCCCTAATTACCCTTGAGATGGTGACGGTGGTGAGCTGCCTTCTTGAACTGTGCAGTCCACCCACAGACACCCACAGTTAGGAAGGGAATTCCAGGATTTTGACCCAGCTGCAGTAAAGGAACAGCGATGTATTTCCAAGTCAGGATGGTGAATGGCTTGGAGGGGAAATTACAGACGGTGGTGTTCCTATGTATCTGCTGCCCTTGTCCTTCCAGATGGAAGTGGTTATGAGTTTGGAAGGTGCTGTCTCAGGAGCCTTTTAAATATGCATTCAGCGAAACTTTGTTTCCCTTACCTGTATCGGGGGGCTTGTTGATCAGCATGGTGTGCATCGCCATGATGTTGGGGCCAGTAAAACAGTGCACATATTTCAAGATCTAAAAAACAAAACCAAATATAATTGAGAAGAAACATCAGAGATTACTTCTCTTTGTCAATGAATTCGCTGCGAAGCAATTCAGTTGGTAATTTAAAGAATTTAACAAACCACTTGAAAGCAAACAAGAAATGTTACCGTGAACGAGAATGTTTTGAATCTGATGTGGAGTTACCCTTTACGTAAGAGAATGACTTACAGAATCACAAATATTTCACTGTAGAAAGCTATTTAAATGTCCAAATTATTAACGAGACCACACAATGTTTCTGAGAAGCAACGCAGAATGGTTACAATTCAGGAGGCCATTTGACCTGTCACGTCTGTCCTGGCTCTCTGCAAAAACAACACAATGATCCCTACTTACACTCCTAGGTATTTTCCTAATCAAACTGTTCAGAGATGGAGTCATACCGCATGGGAACAGACCAACTAGTCCATACCGACCGTGTTCCCAAATAAACTCATCCCATTTGCCTGCGTTTGGCCCATATCCCTCCAAAACTTTCCTATTCATGTACTTACCCAAATGTATTTTAAACATTGTAACTGTACCCACATCCACCACTTCCTCTGGAAGTTCATTCCACATATGAGCCACTCTCTGTCTAAAACGTTGCTCCTTATGTCCTTTTCAAAACTTTCTCCTCTCACATTAAAAATATGCCCCCTAGTTTTGAAATTCCCCACCCTAGGGAAAAGACCCTTGTCATTCACCTTATTTATGCCCCTCATGATTTTATAAACTTCTGTAAAGTCACCCCTCAACCTCTGAAGCTCCAGTGAAAAAAGTCCCAGCCTATTTTTATAACTCAAAACCTCCACTCCTGGCAACATCCTCGTAAATCATTTTTGAACCCGTACTAATTTAATATTATCCTTCCAATAATAGGGCGACCAGAACTGCACACAGTACTCCAGAAGAGGCCTCACCAACCTCAACATGACGTCCCAACTCCAAGAATCAAAGGTCTGAGCAATGAAGGCAAGCGTGCTAAATGCCTTTTTACCATCTTGTCTATCTGTGACACAAATTTCAAAGAATTATGTACCTGAACCCCTAGGTCTCTCTGTTCTATAATACTACCCAGGGCCCTACTGTTAATTGTATAAGTCCTGACCTTATCTTTTTAGATGGAAGTGGTTATGGGTTTGGAATGTGCTGTGTGAGGAGCCTTTTAATTATTTATACAGTGAATCATTTTTATCAAAAACGCAATATCTCACATTTATCCAAATTAAACTCCAGATTTTATTACACCCTCTGCAACAGGTGGGACTTGAACCCAGGCCTCCTGACTCAGAAGTAGGACACTTCTACTGCTCCACAAAAGCCCTTCTATTCCCATAGACATACCATTCTGTTCCTCTTCAAGTAATAATCCAATTAAAGAACTTCCGCTTCTGAAAGCCATTGACTCCACCTTCCCCACACTCTCAACCAGCAAATTCCAGAGAACTGCTAGATATATTTCTATCCATGGGTCACCTTCCTTTACATGAATTAAACACAGCCTTTGTATTTAGTCCTCAATTTGTATCTCTCACCTCTGGCAAGCAGCAATATTTAAACATGGTTTCATTGTTCTCAAAACTTTGAATCTTAGAAATAGCTTGTTGATCTGGACCGTACTCCGTTTTAGAAATGGATACATCCCTCATTATTATTAATCCCGGAACCTCAACTTCCCTCCGGCAGATCCTCTCAAACTCTTCTCTGAAAAGAAAATTGTGCATCTTTATTATAAAAAATTAACATTTACTCAGGTCATAAACCACGGTAATAATTAGTAGTTAGTATTGTTAGTCTTCAGTTTACTCCTGAAAAATCAAATCCATTTCATTTTAAGTGGAATGGAAGAAAAATGGATTTATAGTTACACATGCCTGTGTTAGTCCTTTTGTCTGAATATGAGTTCCACAGAGATTTGATCCTATTCAACAGGTGCCTGTCCCCTGTCTAATGACTTCCATATAATGACTGTCACTGTTTCACAATTCTTGATTATAGATCTGGGATGACTATCATTTCATTTGTTGATCCAAAGTTAGTTTTAACTGTGCGTTTTTATAGCATTTCTAGGATTGCCACCATTTCTATTATCTCAGGCTACTTCTACAGAAAGGGTAAATTTGCCTGTCCATCGAAATAATTGAAAGAAATACTTATTCAGTACCTTTACTGTCAATATTCATCCTCAATTTTTGCCACTTTAACACAGCACCTTGCTCCCTGGCAAACATCTCTGTCTCAGGCTTGCTGCAGCCCTCCAGCGAAACTCAGCGCAAGCTGCAAGGACAGCACCTCATTTTCCAGTTATGAGGAAGGGTCTCCAGACCTGAAACGTTAACTTAAATCTTTTCTTCACAGATGCTGCCACAGGCCTGCTGAGCTTTTCCAGCAATTTCTGTTTTTATACCTCATTTTCCGCTTGGGGACCCTGCAGCCTTCCAGACTCAATATCGAGTTGAACAACTTTAGGCCTTGAGCTCTCCCATGTCCTTACCCCAAGCCCCATAACCAAGCCTTGTTATCACACAGTCTGCTATTACACACCACCCATTGTTCGCCAGAAACAGTCTCCATTAACAGCTTTTCACTCTCCTAACAAGGTCGTTATCCACTCCTTTGTCTGTCTAACTGCTCTTCTCTCCTTTTGAGCTGTATCCCCACCTATTGTTTACTCCTTAACCCCTCCCCCCACCCTATCTTCTCCATAAAAAAACATTTTCCTAGCTTCCATCAGTTCTGAGGAAGGGTTACTCCACCCAAGATGTTAATTCTGATTTCTCTCCATAGATGCTGCCAGACTTACTGAGCTTTTACATCAATTTCTGTTTTTGTCTCTAATTTACCGCATTTGCAATTCTTTCAATTTTTATCCTCAATTTTCAATCTGTTTTCATTTTTAATGGGATTTACCTCTTACTGTTTGCAATATCATTATTTGGGAATTTAGATTTTAAAGTGGCGGTAATGCTGATGTGTAGTTTCAGCTCTATGCTTAATCCCCACAGGTCAGAAAGTCATTTGGAACAGTGAACTAAGAACATCATTTCCAATAAGGCATGTGACTTAAGTTAAATGACTAGGAGAAAACTGCAACATTAACTGAAGAAATGTTTACAAAGTTAAACCTTTTTGAGGGTCACCAATAATTCTGATTCAGTTCAGAATCAGGTTTCAGTTCAGAAGGACAGTTTCATCCAGGCAGAAGGCCATGTCTTTTTTTGTGTGGTGAAGTTTCCAAGCTGAGAGACTTTTTGTAGAGGTTCTGATAACTATCAGAAGCAAAAACAAATTGAGGCTCTCAGCACTGGAAAGAAGTCTGCAAACCATCAAAATTGGAAACAGTCAGGTAAGTCAGAAGTTAACGAGTTAAAACAAGGAGTGACACTGCACTGTGACTAAATATCTGTAAAGGATATTCCTGGGAAAAGGCTGAAACTTTGTTTTCTCTCAGAGGGAAGTAAATACCACAGAGAGCTGTAGAGGCTGGGTTGTTAACTATATTCAAGGGAGTGATAGATTTTTAATCAGTAAGGCAATCAAAGGTTATGGGGTTAACGCAGGAGAATGGTGTTAAGGATTATCAGATCAGCAATGATCTCATTGAATGGTAGAGCAGACTCACTGGGCCAAATAGCCCACTTCTAATTTTACATCTTATGTCTTGTTGTCTATGAAAATCTAAATTTTCATGTTTCTATCTTTGTCTGTTATTTCCTGTTGTACAATAAATTTGTGTTTTTTTTGTCAAAGAACACTGGCAGCTCTTCTGAATATGTTCAGTGACTAGCCACCACAGTAAAAGCCTGCAAAATAGAACTTAGGATCTATCAAGGCCAGGTTTCACTCTAAGATCTGACTGGATCATAGTACAGTTATAGTACTGAGGGAATTGAAAGTGAAAAGCTTTGGGACGTTTTTAGGATGTGATAAGGTACAACATAAATGTCAGCTTTCTTTCTCAAGATGTAAGAGCTCACCTGAAGAGTTCAATATTCTCATCAGAAACCAGCTTCTTAATAAGAAGGAATCCATTTTCCTCATAAAACAGTCTCTGCTCAGGGGTTAGAACTCTGTTTTCCAAAGTGTAGCTAGATACAAAAAGATAATTTAAAATAACAAGACTGAATGCAATGTAGTTTTGGAACACAAAATTAACACAATGTTTTATGTTGGTGTCCATAGCTTGATGTTGAACACTGTATCCTGTAGATACTATGGGGCAATCAAACTATCTTAAAACAAGCACTAAATGACTGATGCAAACATAATAGCTCTTAAACAGCAGCAGGCCAAGATAGTCTCATTTGACCCAAAGAGATAAAACTTAAAAAGCTCAAAGGGTTAAATGAGAGAGATATTCATATGATCCTTCAGGATTTTTCAAAGAAAATGTAGGTGAAGTTTTTGTTGTTAAATGCCATTGTAAAAAAAAGTCAAATTGAGCATCAAGCTGACCAACAGCAGGAATTGCATTCCCAAAAATCAGTTCAACGCCTTGACATGTTAATTCAATGTGTTGCTGGGAACTCTGGTATATCTCCCACTCACCATTCACTCAGTTAGCACAGTCCCTCATTACATTGCTCAACACATCCTGTAAAATTTGTCAATCATTTTCTTCCTCTATGATACTCAATTAGGTCAAAACTCAGCCACAAATATGACAGCCTTTTATTGGCTGTTCCACCAGCTTCTTGAGATTACATTAAAAAAAAGGGCATTGTTTCAGTTTGGAGTGCAGATTGGAGACGGTGGGACCTGGCGAGGAGAAGATCTGATTGAAGTTTTCAAAAATCAGCACTGTACCTGCACAGTACAGACGGGGAGAAACTAATCCTGGTCATAAAGGATCAAGAACCAGGGAGTGCAGATTTAAAATGGTTTGCAAAAGAAGCAATGTGAGTGGAGAAAAAAAAATGTCTTCACACAGCAAGTAGTCAGAGTGTGGAATGCACTGCTCGGAAATGCAACAGAAGTGGGTTCAGCTAAGGCATTCAACAGGGCATTGTTTCTGTTTAAATAATTATCTAATCTGCAGGGTTACAGGGAAAAGACACGAATTTTGCACCAGATCCAAATGTTCAAAGTTAGTGCAGGCACAAATAGGCAGAATGGCCTCCTTCTGGTCTTTGTAATAATTCTGTGACTGTAGCAGGAGATTACTCAGAAGATTTCAATCTGTTCTCATTAAACACACTTTTTTTTCTTAGACATAGCCAGGTAATGGTAGTTTGAGCTATAGGGAGAGGCTGGATAGGCTGGGACTTTTTTCACTGGAGCACAGGAGGTTTATAGGTGTCCTGATAGAAGTTTATAAAATAATGAGGGGCACAGGTACAGTTAATGGTAGGTGTCTTTTCCCTAGGATGGGGGATTTCAAGATTAGGGGGCACATTGTTGAGGTGAGAGGAGAGAGATTTAAAAAAGACGAGGGGCAAATTTTTTACACAGAGGGTGGTTTGCGTGTGGAATGAACTTCCCGAGAAAGTGGTGGATTACAGAGTTTAAAAGACATTTGGATAAGTACATGAATAGGAAATGTTTGAAGGGATATAGGCCAGGAGCAGGCAGTTGGGATTCTAAAACCCATATAACAACAAATCAAAGCACAAGGACATGTTGTAAATCACACCGATTAATCATTAAATAAGAACAAATATTACCAGATCTTTATTATGGTAAACAGAGGGTCTAAAACACGTTGCAGCTCTCATCAGACTTTTCCTGTGTTGAAATGACTCGATTTTGTGCCAACCGAGATCATCCAGAAACCATAACTGTTTGTTTCAATTTTTGAAATAAATGTTCTTGGGATGTGAGCATCGTTGGGAGCGGGCTGTCGATCTCTAATTAACTTTGACAGTGATGGCAAGCCGCTTTCTTGACTAGCTGCTGACAAGGTGGTGCACAGACAGTGGATATTCTACAGGGGTCTGATATAACTGAATAACTTGCCCAGCCATCTCAGAGCACAGGTGAAAATCAACCACGTTTTTGTGTATCTGGAATCAAGTGCAAGTCAGGCTGGGTCAGGGAAACAGATTTCTTTCCCTAAAGAAACTTTTGTGAATCAGGAGAGAATGGGGTACGCCATTCAGGACTGACATGAGGAAGAATTATATTCACTCAGAGAGTTGTGAGCCTGTGGAATTCTTTCCCACAGGAAGCTGTTGGGGCCAGGTCATTGGGCGGAAGGGAACAAGGGGTATAGAGAGAAAGTGGGAACAGGATGCTGAGATTGCATGTTCAGCCATGATTGAAGGGCCGAATGGCCTCCTCCTGCACCTATTTTCTATGTTTCTAGGAGAGATTTAACAATCTGGTAGTTTAATCATCATGAATTTAAAACATCAGCACTTAATTCCAGATTAAGTATTATTTTTGTTTAAAATTGTGAAAATTGATAACATTACTGGAGAAAATGAGAAGTACTGTGCCTGGAGAAATACAACTGAATAACAGAAACAGCCTTTGAAATCAAATGTCTTTCAGTGACTATTAGTTGAACTTTGCACTAATTACAGCATGGTCACTCGGAGCGAGCCCAGGCCGGCCGGGGGGAGTGGAGGGGGTGGGGATGTTGACATGGACGAATTGTGGAGGTGAGTCCGGGACAGAGACCAACGCATGGAGGCAACGAGGCTTCGTGTTTTGAAACCCAGCTGGCACAGAGTCACAAGAAGGGACTATAGCTTGAGCACTTTAAAGATACTTTTTATTTTCATTCTGGGCTTTTTAAACTCTCTATTCCCATACTAGTCTATTTTTGTTTACTATTTCAATTCTGTAACAATACTTAAAAGTATCTGTAATAAAAATGGAAAGAACTGCAAATGCTGTAAATCAGGAACAAAAACAAAGTTGCTGGAAAAGCTCAGCAGGTCTGGCAGCATCTGTGAAGGAAGAAACAGAGTTACGTTTCAGGTCCGGTGACCCATCCTCCGACCCTTGAGTTCTGAGGAAGGGTCACAAGACCCGAAACATTAACTCTGTTTTTCCCTTCACACATGCTGCCAGATCTGCTCAGCTTTTCCAGCAACTTTGTTTTTGTTCCTTAAAGTATCTGCACCTAAGATGGCGCTGAGAGACAACATTACAAACTTTCCATTGCACTCATTCAAGTGCACGTGACAAATAAAGGCTACTCTATTCTATTCACCCACTCACCTCCCGTCCAAGTTTCCCAGATTGCTGTGTTGTCGAATTTCCCATGCCTAATTCCCACAATGGATTGTTGGCTGGCACTCTTCCAATCATGTCAAGCAGCATCATAGGAGCAGAGAGGCTGACGTTTCGGG